TAACGGTAAGAAATGTATATGACTTAATGGACCGAAACATTTCTTACCTGTAACAAATATTTCTTTATACCCCTTTCCCATTTTATTATCCTTTTCCTCCTTTTCATTGCTTCCTTCTCCTGATATTTTCTTTTTAACCTTTAGAAGGGAAAGAGGGGAAGGAGGGATTTGAAATGAAGGAACTGACCTCCCCCTCCCCCCCCCCCTTCCCCTATTGCACAAAGGTTTCAATTGAAGGACAAGGTAGAAAATGATGAAATAGAAAAAATTAAGAATGAAAGAAAAACGAAATGAAAAAAAGGGAATAGGAGTATGGAAATATTTGTAATAGGTAAGAAATGTTTCGGTCCATTAAGTCGATTTTTTCATTTCCTTTATATTCCAACGCCGTCTGGGCTTGTTGCCTTTTCGGTATGAAAAAGAAAAGCCCCCTCATCTACGATCATTTGCAGTTTTGTTTCAAACTTTAAATTAGCATCAGCTTTTTTCCAGGCAAAAATTGTGTAAAAAAACTTCTGTTTCTCGTAAATTTTGGTACTGCGTGGCGCTTTCGTTTCATGCATTATCGTTGCTTGTATGAAAAAAGAAGGGTTGAAAAAAACACCTGTCCGTGTGTTAGCTCTAAGTGAATTTGCTTATGAATCTGTAGTATCTGCAGTTGAGTTTTGCAGGATTTACGTGAAAATGTGCAATTTTGGAACGTATATCGTTTTTTACGCTTTATACCGTTACCATCCGAAAACTTGCATAGCGCTTTCTTTGAAACAAAAGGTATTTTTTAACATCTTGTTGTGTTTTTCTTCCCTTCTCCCACACGGCTGGAGGGACAGAAATCAAGTTATCTGGATGGCCACCATCCTACCTCTGGTTACTCCAATTGCATGTACCGGTCGATACCTTGCGCTGAATGGGCCTTTGTTTCTGGCCCTGATAGTTTTTTTGACAAACGACCGACCCCTCGAGCAATATTTTCACTGTTTAGTGAATTGGAAATTTGCATTTTTTCAAAAATTTATATTTTGAGATTAAATTTTCTGAGATTAAGTTGTTTTTTTCGCGTTTTTTTTGGCTCGGCTGTGGCCGAGAAAAGATGGAAAAGTTGATGTAATGTTACGGCAACGTGTCGTTTATCTTTTACCAAAAATACCGAGTCCGGTCGGACCTCGGCTTGCTGGTCTCATGATAGTGATGTTACTAGAATGCTCTCACACGCTAGGTTCAGCTGTGTCGGGCCCATCGATCTTGAGCTGCATATTTTCAGTTTGTGTTTTACTACTTGTTCGATGTATGTGCTTCAGCTTTTTTTGGGCAGACTAGCTTTTTTTTCACTTTTTCGTCACAGTTATCATTCATTAATACGCAGTACCTATTAGTCCTTGGCAAGGACAACAACATGCCCTGCCTATCGGATTTTACTTTCTCGCATGGCTTCAATGATATCTTGCAAGTCGTTCATCTGCCGATTTTCCCCTGCTTTCAGCAAATGTTGTAATCCGGCACTGGGGAATCAAAAAAGTAAAACGTCATTATCAGGAAGCATGGCTTGCGCTGCTGAGACATAAGGTATTCAGTAATTTTTTTTTCACTTTTTTAGATTATGAAATTTTTCTGTATTTTGCGAAAATTTTATGTAAAATTATGTTTTAAAAAATTTCAAATTTTATTTCGGTTTTTCAAAATTTCTATATTTATTTCAATTTCAATAATTCGGAATTCAAAAATTTCAAAAATTCCATATGAAAAATTTTCAGTTTTCCATTTTCTGAACATTACATGAATACTGCTTGTTGATGTGAATATTTTACGAACCTGGCGCATTTTGAATGTGAAAAAAAAAAGTACCTGGCGCTGATATCGATCAACGTTAAGTATGTAAAAATTATGGGACTTTGGTTTCTTTGGGAGGAGATTATCTCCGTATGATTTTTGGGTGATCAGCTGTAAAAGCAGCAGCTGTGTGCGAGCTTCACATTCGAGAAGCTGATTGCTGAAAACAGGGGATATCAAAAAAAAAAAAAACAAAATGCCAAATTCATCAAATTCTTACAAAATTTATCAAATTCTTTTGATAACAGTGAATGCGCTCCTAATTTTTTTTAATAATTGATTTTTTCCAATTTTTTTTTTCAAATTTTTTTGTGATTTTTCTTTTTTTTGGTAATTTTTTCTTGCTCTTTTTTTTTGGTGCTCCTTGGCGTAAGAAAAAAAGATTAATGCTTAACTGGATTAGCAGCCGGTACAAGTATAGAAAATAAACAGCAAATTTTGCATTTTAAAGTGTTTTGAAATAAGTTTAAGGATCAAAAACCTTGAAAAAATAAACACCCGATGTATGAATTAAAGCATAAGTCGGAAATGATTGTTTGTTTGAAGCTGCCAAAAAAACTGTTGAAAAAGCTGGTGCCCTATCTGTGCGAACATGTGATCGATTCGTTGCGCGAGCCATTTCTTGTTGGCGATTTTCTCTTTCGCATTTTCAATATGGGCGATATATTCCCGGTAATTTCACTTGCTGGCATATATAAATTAATCGTCAACTATAACTTGTAAGTTTTTTTCAATTCATTTTGACCAGTTTTCATGAAATCAGCATTAGCTTGCTTCTAAACAACCCTCGAAAGCGGTATCTTGCAAGAGGACGGCTGTTTTTTGCGCCTGCTACTGCTCGGGCTGTCTTCGAATGCCTCGGCTCCGATGAAAATTCATTAAAAAGGGGTTTTTGACCACTCATTCTTCATACTAATATACTTCATAGATGTTTAGAGTTATTACGCCTGTAACGAGGAGGCGAGCGGTAGGTGGACTTTGAGGCTGCGAGATGGCTGTCGCCAAAACTAATAAACAATTTTTTATAAGTAAGGAAGCGCAGAACCAAAAAAAATTAAAAAAAAAAGCCGCGAAAAAACCCGACAGCAGCTCTAAGATGCCGTCGTACAATTTCAAAACCACAAAAACAATTTCTAATCACCACATTAAATATCACGGAAGGGGAACTCGAGTCAGGAGACGGGACATTTGCATATCACACGGGATCGAAGGACAACTGGGCAAGGCGAAGGTGTTTAGCCACCAATTCCGTTTTCTTGCTGCTAACACCGTCTTCCTTTTGCAACAGGCTTTATTAGTTTGCATTCTTGGGATTTATTACGATTGTCTTCTTGTACTGGTATCAGGGTTTCGATGGTCTTTTTATTTTTTAAATAAATCATGGGAAAATAGAATTGCTACCCGCTCTTGTTTTTCCCTTGAGTTTTTGAGCGATTGGACTTAATTTACAATTACGTATTTAAGTTAGCATCTTTTTTTTCTTAATTTTCTGACGATTTTCAGCGAATATCCGAATTTTTACCAGTGCGTATACGGACTAACAACACCATCGGTGTGTTATCTGAATTATCGTGAGAAATTTTTCACGCTTCTCGACACATTTCTTTCCTCAACGTTAGTTTATTATTTTTATTTTCACTATAATTCGTAAAATTTGGGACTGTTTACATAAAAAAAAAATGTATATTTCAGTTTGATATTTTAATCAGCCATTTTTTCGCCATTTCGCGCCATTAAAACACTTGGTTGTTCTTACTAATATTGACTGTGGGACTATTTCCTCGTATTTCGGTCATTTTTAACATAGCCAGTAGGAGGCAGTACTGATGATTCCCGCTCCTACCCGTGCAATTGCTCAATCTGTGTTTACAGCTGAGGGATGAAACACAAACTCCCTACATCGTAAAATGTCCTTTGGCACATGACACTTAAGACCAATCCTTCCACTCTTTCATTCGTTTTAATGTTTGTCTGGCTTTTACATTTCCTAATTTCTGCGCGCTCTATGTGTATGTGCTTTTTATGCGTTTTTGCATATATGAAAAAACACATATTGTGACGACCCTGGTGTGTGTATGTATGTATGTGTGTGTGCGTCTGTCCGGGTATTTCAACTCGGCACGCAAGCAAGCTTCGGCGCCAAAGTCTTGCGAGTGGGTTCCCAGGCAAGTGCCACCCTAAGACCGCGGTACCAATCCTCAAGCACGTCTAGGCCGCACGTACGACCGCCTCAAACTTTTAGCGGGAAAATCGCTAACTTGGAAACCAGGAAAGCTAGAAAGCTGAAGTTTTGGAACTATGTTCCCCGTCCATATAGAAATCAAAGATTTTAAATTCAGCTCCCCGCTATGCCATGTACGGCCCCGTGAAAGTTTTTGGCTGGGATTTGGGTAACTCGGGAACTAAGGCTGGGAACCTGGCATTTCAAGGGAATGTTCCCTGTCCAGGTATAGCGTGGATAGATAACTTCCCGAAATTCAAGGACCAGTATGTACAAGAGGTTTCTAGCTGGCGGAATTTCGAGCAATCTTATTACAGCACGAAACACTGCAAAAACGCATGATCGCACGGGTCCGGCCAAGTGCGCGTCGCCAATGATTTTTCTTGATGGCACCTCAGCATGAACTGTAAAAAATCATTGGTACATAAGTTTCCCAGGGCTATGGGCCCCAAATGCTGAGTTATTTGAAGCCAAACTCGAAGACAACCACAGTTTTCCTACGATAGCAAGTAAGATAATCAGTTTTGCCTCGTTTATTTATTAACTCGCTTTTCAGACATCTTCCAACATACGTTGTTGCTGCTTTCGTAAAACGATTATCACGAATCGCTCTTCTGGCCCCAGTTTCATGCCAGGAATCACTGCTTGCGCTAATAAGGAATTTGATTACACGACATAAAACTGTGGAATTTTTGCTGCACCGGGAAAATCCAGGTATTTTGCTGCAAAAAGCACTTCATTTTACTGATTTATCTGGTCAATTTCTTTTTTTTTGATGAATTGTGAAGGAAAAATATCCTTTTTTTTGCAGAAACATTAACCAGTGATCCGTATAATGAAGAGGAAAGCAACCTGCAAAAATGCGGAGCCATGGAAAGTTCACTGTGGGAAATTAAGGTTTGCACGCTTCAATAGTCATCTTCACATGAGCAATTCACTTCTGTGAAACTTTTCTTTAAAAAGCCCCTCTTCCTCCTTAAGTACCCCTCCCAAAAAAATTTTGCTCCGACGGTCATCCAGACAGTATCAGTTTTTGCATCTTTTCTCACAGACATGGTTTTTATGCATTTTTTGCATCTATGCAATGCAGAAAAAGCATACTGGCGAGAGGTTGTCTCTGTGTGTGTGTATGTGTGTGTGTGTGTGGCGGTATGTGCGTCTGTATCGATTTTTCATCTCGAAACCTACAAAAGCTGTATAAGGCTGAAATTTTTGTGATCTTAATCAAGTTGCATTTACGGGCTCCTATCCCCAAAATGGACACTTTTGCCCACGTGGTTCCTTCATATGGACCCGTGAAAGTTTTTTGCGGGTAAGTTGCTAACTCAGTGAGCCCATTTATTTCCACATGTGAATTTAAAAACTGCCAAACGTACTTCATATCAGGTCTATGACAGACTCACGTAATCTCAGAGGGAAATGCGTTGTAACATCTGAATAGTGATAGTCATTTTTTACCCACAACAACCATGTTTTGCTATTAGTTTTGGTGGTACGCCTTCTTAAGAACGCATAAGAAAAAATTTTAAAAACGGATGCACTGTGAAAATTTATGCGAGAAACGAATCATAGGAAATTTGATTTTCTCAGTATATAAGTTATTTAAAATTGATCTTCGGCAACATACGACTAGTTTTTCGTGCAATTTTGCCACAAACATTTAATTTTTTTAAACAAATCAAGGAATTCTTTACTTATGCGATTGTAACGATCGAAGGGTGGACGAGAAGGGGTGCAGCTGTGGAGGCGCTTGCCCAACTAATAAATAAAGCTTTATTAGAAAACAAGAACACACCAATAGAAACCAAAACTAACCCACAACCGCTGAGAACCAGTAGCAGTTCCAAGTTGCACAGTTCTTGTGACACAGAAAACAATCACTGCTTCATTTCTAATCACAACATTACATATCACGGAGGGGAACCCAAGTCAGGAGACGGGACATTTGCATAACATACGAAATCGAATGGCCACTGAGCAAGGCGAAGGGGTTTAGCCAGCAGCTTCTTTTCCTTGCCATTAGCATGTTGTTCCTTCCGCAATGTTATTCCCATCGTAAAAAACTGTGCCTTTCCCAAGTATTCCAGGATTCATGCCGAAACTAAGCATTAAATTGTAAGTGCCAAAAATTGGATCTTCTGAATGATATTTCAGTAGCTTCCATTCCACTGCTTTATCCAGAGACATTGGGAAAGATTTTTTAGACCCTGCAACGGCACTGGTATTCAGAAGTAGCGAAAAGAGCGAATTTCATCGACAAAGGAATGCAACGGATGGAATCATTTGTGCGTTGGCGACAGGATGATGATTATTTCATGAAATTACTGTCAAGGAAATTTGGAAGCGATTTTTTGAAGCACAAAGACGAGGAGAAGTTTCGAAAAAATCAGGTCCAGAGATTTTTTTAAGATTTTTGCTGTTTTTTTATCTTGCCAAGTTGATTTTTGCCTGGTGATTCTTAGCGTTATTTCTTAAAAAGCAGTGTATAAAGTGTGTATTATCTCTGCTTAATTTATGTGGTGCAGGCAGAGTTTTTCAGAGTTCGATTCTTCTAGAAAAAGTTTTGGGTGATTTTAAATTTTGATTTCTCATATTTATGTTTTTTATGCGTTTTGTGCTGCAGCAGTACACAAAACGAATATTCTATGTGTGTGTATTCTATATATTCTATATGAATAGAATTTTATCCTATATTCTATATTCTATGTGAATATTCTATATATCTATATGTGTGTTTGTATGTGTATGTATGTATGTATGTATGTATGTATGTATGTATGTATGTATGTATGTA